CAGTTGGATCACAAACCTCTCAACAGAATCATACAAATTTATAGCACAGAAGAAGGTTTAGTGTGTCTGTGCCAACTCTTTGAAAGAGTCCTGTGGCTCAGTGGTTAGAGCACTCGCCTCGCAAGCGAGAGGACCTGGGTAACCGGCTCTAGGTCCTAGAATTCATCAGCCCACAACCCATCAACTTTTTCAGATGCTTTACATTTTAGACAAACGTATTTCAGTAAAATATCAAGGTCAGCTTATTATGGATGTATTATCTGGCAGATTTAAAGCTCAATTTTTATATTGCATACCATTTGTTTTAAGAACCTCACTTATCAGATCCTGCAGACGGGTTGTGTTTATTTTAATGTCATAATTTGTTTATCATCTAGACCTTTAGACGACAAGAGGCAAAGTTAATGGATTTTCATCAGTTCTAATCTTTCAAGCTTCCGTCCATTAATACTTTCATTAATATTTACAACTTAAATTGCTGATTGATGCACAATAACATGTTAGAGCACTTTCCTCGCAAGTGAAAGGATCTGGGTTCGATTCCCAAGGCAGGGAAACATTAGGCAAGTTTCCTTACTTCACACGCCTCTGTTTCCCCAGCAGTGAGTAGGAACCCGGTTGTCAGTTCATTGGTGGATTGCTTTTCCGGGGGTAATAATCCCTTCAATAATTAAATAAATAATAATAAATAAAAAAATGTGGTCACTCAATCCATAACTGTTTGTGGGAACGCTGCTGTTACACAAATTGGCTGCTGCGTTTCGCCCACAAAATATACAGTCAATTCACTTTACAGTATATCCTGAGAAGCGCTTTGAGACGTCTCGAAGACCTGATGAGGCGCTGTATCAAACGCAAGGATTATTATGATTATTATCTTACGTTTTAATATGGATGAGTCTTACAGGTTAAGACTAAGGTGATGTTTCAGGTGCCAGAATAGGTGCTCTCTAAAATAATGATACACGCAGCAAGGTTTATCAAAGGCGGAAGAAAATAGACAAGTCAGGAATCTGTCAAACTGCAACCTTTACTCACTATCTCGCACTTCACTTTACCATTTGTTGGTGAGTCAGAAATCATCCCACCAGCACATCACTGAGGTATAAAAGAGGAGTCAGTTGATGTGTGGGCAGTCAGTCGTATCCTGATTACTGAGAAATACATTTACTCTCTGCAATTACACAATCAATGATAAAAAAAAACCCTCTGGGATATGGATGGAAAACACAATCTTTTGCAGAATGGATATAAATAGCATCAAAGGGCATATTACATGACATCAAACCCACATGATAGCTTTGCCCAAAGACTCAACCTATCGAGTTGCGTTCTGACTCACTCCAGCAATTATAATCTCTGGACTTGTGTTCAGTGTTGGCCTTGCTCTATTCCTAAAGGAACACTATCTCTTAAAAAGTCACCGCCACACCTGATATGGAACTTTTATCAAACACCTATTGAAAATGCAGATACAACAACAAAATATAGTTGCCCACAAAACATACAGGCAATTCACTCGACGGTATATCCTGTGAAGCGCTTTGAGACATCTCGAACACGTGATGAGGCGCTATATCAAATGCAAGGATTATTTATTATTATTATTATTAACAGCATCAACTTTACATTTATATCGTGCCTGTCAAGTCAGGAAGGTCTGCGAGGCACTGACAATTACATTATAACCACTTTGCAAAAGTTTTCATCCGCTAATTTATTTATGTTCTCAAACGATTTCACTGGATTTGAAAGATATCACTTATTGCTTCTAACCAGCCTTTTGATCTCTGTGTTCCTTCATTGTTTACTGATGGTATTCTCATCCAGAAGTCTGCAGCTCGTGTCCTCTCCCGCACCAGGCTCCGTGACCCCCACCCTCGCCCGGCTCCACTGACTCCTAATCCCTCAGAGGACAGAATTCAAAATCCTCGTCTTCACTTTCAAGGCCCTCCATGGCCTTGTCCCCTCCTGCACCGCTGACCTGCTGACCGCCCCCTATCAACCTCTCCGTTCCCTCCGCTCAGCAGGCTCCTGCCCGCTCCATGTCTCCTGCCCGACCCACCCTACCATCGGCCGCCGGGCTTTCACGCCTGAACTCACCTGAGAAATCGCCAACTGGCTGTGGTGGCAGAACAAGTTCACTGATGGCATCTGTGGAACTGTACTCAACTATTAGTCACCCTTTCAGGAAGAGAAGGGGAGGAAAAGGAAGTAAATTGCAAAAATAAATATGTTTGGCAATGTATTACAGGGAGAGGAGTGGAGTGGGTGGAAGGTGACAAAGTGATTTCCTTCTGACATCGAGAACATTGGAATCAGACGTGGTGGCATTTGCTTTTAATGTTCAGAGTTTGCGTCAACCGCGAATGATAAAAAAAATTCTACCTGTGTTACGATAGTGTAGGCATATGTTGATAAACACAATTGCGCTCTTATTTTGTTTTAAAACCTCCAAAAAGTACATTTTTAAAGCCTTTTTTTTGGGGAAAAACAAAGA